ATACATACATACACACATATATATATATATATATATATATATATATAAATTATCAACAATTTAAATATTTTATTTGATTTCATTAAATGTTTTTCTTAAAAACATTCTTTACAAAAAATATGCAACAAGCTAGAATGTATACAGCTCTAGTGTAAACTACTCTTCAAAAGTATGGGGTCAGTAAGATTTTTTTTAAGACATTTATGTTTTTATTCAGCAAGAAGACATTAAATTGATTAAAAATGACAGTAAAACATTTATAATGTTACAAAGGTTTTCTATTTCAAATGAATACTGTTCTTTTGAACTTTCTATTCATCAAAGAATCCTGAAAAAAAATATTATTTTCACAACAACAAAATAATTATATTTAACTGTTTTCAACAGTTAATAATAGGAAATGTTCCCTATTCTCCAAATCAGCTAAATAAAATGATTTTGTAGGATAATGTGACATTGGAGTAATGACTGCTGAAAATTCAGCTTTACCATCACAAGAATAAATTATATTTTAAAACATATTTAAATAAAAAAAACAACTATTTTAAATTGTAATAATATTTCACAATATTACTGTTTTTACTGTATTTTTGATCACACAAATGCAGCCTTGGTAAGTATAAGAGACTTCTTTCAAAAACATTTTTTTTTTTTTAAATCTTACTGATCCCCAAATTTTGAACAGTATGGTAAAATTCATAAATTCATATATTTTTTTATATTTTCAAACTGATTCTATAACTGATAAACATTTGAACAACAACTATTTTAACCATTAGGTATCCCAAGCAAGTAACAATGTAAAGATTATATAAGCAGTCATAATCTGGCCTAGATAAGAAGATAAGCTTGGATAATGCATTTCTAAATTGTCCTTCTGAATTCCTTTCTTACTAGATTCTTTTTGTATGTTGCATGAAAAATATGTCCCATAAAACAGTTTTAATCATATGATCCCTGAACAGATCATCAAAACAGATGTGGCTCAAATCTGCAAGATTATCTAGAATTTTGTTGAACTAAATATCACTCATGAGATGTGAGGACGGTCTTCCCTGAGTTATATTTAGCCCATGTTATCATCTCAGCACAGTCATTCTCAGCTGTTGCCTTCAAAATGGTGCCACTGTGTGGTGAAACACCCATAAGGAGGTCATCATTAAAGGGCTGTTCACAGCATTATACTCACATACACCATTTCTCCAACAAAAATTTAATTGATTTAATTTTGGTTACTAAAATAAGTGAAAAAATACAAAAAAGTGTACAATATGTTGAATTCGACTTTATTTTTGTAGTAATACGATGAATATCTAATTCAAGTGAAGGTCAAAGTTATGTAGAAATACAGAAAATTCTGAGACTTTTATTCACTACTGTACTTAATATACCATATTCTTGCATCCTATTGATATGCCGCTGGCTGTAAGCACTAAATGAATTGTCTTTTTCCATTTATAAATGGGAAAGAGACAATCTAAAGCTCACTTGGCTAAGTAATTAAAGTCCAAGTCCAAAAAATCAATATGGACTTGAGTGAGCAGTTCCTCAAGGCAACAGTGACAACCATGCAGAAGAGTTGTCACACACGCTTACCCTGCCTATGTCTAGGTAGACCTCTGTGGAATCCACCAATGCACCCTCAGAGACAGCTTGTGCAACAGTTTGGACAAAACAGCCCTAACAAACTGCGAATTCAACAACAGAGGTTCAGCAGGTTCACATTTTACATAACAAAGAACAAAACAGGGCTGCTGTAGAAAGAGTGCAGAGATGGGTGTGCCTCTTTTTTGCATAATGTGTACACCACTGATGTCTGAGTCCCTGGATGGAACAGGTTGCAACTTAGAAAATAAAAGTTTATAAGAATTAAATTGAGAAGCAGGTGCAACATTCATCTATTTTCTCACTTAATATGGGTGCCATAGTAAAAAAAAAAAATAAAAAAAAATTGTATTCAATATATATTATTCAGAATGAACATTGAATATGATTGTACCCAATACCATAATGTAATCGCAGCTCCAGTCTAGTAGTCGGGGTTTTGATTCATCTCAGTGACTCGAATCTTCTGAACCAGTTCACTGATTCGTTTAGTGACTCTTTGTATTGGGTTTCGACTTCCGCCGGTAGGTGGCGACAGTGAGTCGTTTTTGTTATGATGACACATTAGCCTTGTCCAAATACCCACACTTGTCGTTTAAAAAAAAAAACGTTCACTCATGATGGACCTTTTTCACATTTCCGGGTTTCTCAGCAGCGGAAGTCGTCATAGTTGGGTAAACTTGAAGAGCAGTGAATGGGAGAGCACCACTCCTATATTTTTTGCATTCCCAGTTGCTCAAATAGCAAAAGAAAAATGGACTTGAGTGAGCAGTTCCTCAAGGCAACAGTGACAACCATGCAGAAGAGTTGTCACACACGCTTACCCTGCCTATGTCTAGGTAGACCTCTGTGGAATCCACCAATGCACCCTCAGAGACAGCTTGTGCAACAGTTTGGACAAAACAGCCCTAACAAACAAAATTGATAGTGTTTTCATGACTTTCAATAAAAGGAAAACAATTGAGATAACGATGTCAAATTTACCATCCTTCCCATAGACGCTGCATTAGAAACACCCTCGCATTAGCATTAACAGTTTTTTTTGTAATTTGATGCAAAGGTGATATAATAGGCCTACAAAGAATAGGGTTATAAATGTAGATACTTTTTTTTTAAAATACAAATATGAAAAACTTTCGAGGATTTACGATGCTGATGACCGTTAAATGCGTCATCAAAGTCTTGTGAAAAGGGTCCATTCTTTAAAAAGACAGTTCGGTCAATGTATTGTTTTCCCGCCAAATTTCTCTCATATTGAAAGTGAGACTGATTTACGTGCCTGATTCTTTTATGTGATGAGAATGAGTTGACTCCTTTTATTAGGTGCGAAAAAGTCTCTCAAAAGGAAGATTGAACTAAATATATGATTAATTGAATGCAAGTGAAAGAGAACGATTTGTTCGCCTGAGTTCTCATTTGATTTTTTTTAATAGGAAATATGTGACCCTGGACCACAAAACCAGTCATAAGTAGCACGGGTACATTTGTAGCAACAGGCAACAATATTCTTATTATTATAATTATTTCTTTATTTCATACCCTTTGGTCCATATCACAAACAGAATACAAGAAACAAGGGAAGAAAATCACATACAAACATACATTTACATACAACAATCACTATTTAAAAACATACAAACTTGAATTCCAGTGCTTCCCAGGAAGAATACCTAGTGTCACTTAATGTGGGATCATTTAAGGCCATTATGATATTTCTTGAATCACTTAGTCCACATGAAACTATAATTCAGAGGAGAAACAATAATGTACAGTATGTGGAAAATAATGTGTTTTTTGAACCTTAAACCGCATAAACACATTTCATTACACCAAATACACATTACACCAAATACACACTTGCAGTTATCCACCTTGGTAACTTAAGCAGAATAACAATGCCACCTGAAGCTTTTTCAATTTAGCTTTACTATAACTACACCATAAGTGTGACATATAAAAAGAAGTGCAGTAAGCTCTAAAAAGTGCTATTTTTACATCAACAGTGCACATGTAAAATTTACGAGCCAACATATTTGCTTCTCCGTATAACTTACAGCACTGGCGTTGCATATCATCATCATCATCATTTAAATCATCTCTAATAATGTGACCTAGATATTTTATTTTATTTACCACATTCAATACTTGGTCACCTAAACAAAAGGAGGGAAACTTTTGTTTACGATCCTCTTTAGTTTTAACAATCATAACCACACTCTTTTTAGTATGAAATACAATATCATACTGCACCATAATTTGAACATACACGAAGCAACTGTTGTAACCCAACACTATAAGGGGACAGAATAACTAAGTCATCAGCATACATCAAATGGTTAATAAGACCATCACCTATTACACATCCAGTTTTACACTCATTTAACTCAACAGAGAGATCATCCATATACAAATTAAAAAGAAGAGGTGATAATATTCCACCTTGCTGAACCCCATTCGTCACATAAAAGGGTGTCGAAACATTCCTACCCCATCTGACTTGTATAGGTTGATGTATATAAGTACTGTAAAATCCTAATCAAATATGGGGGAACCCCTCTGTCTTGTAGCTTTATAAACAACTTAGTGTGATTAATTCGATCAAATGCCTTAGAAGCATCTAAAAAGCACATAAATACTGTAGAATTGTGTCTATACACACTAACCACTTCCTTTAACGAATATATGCATAAATTGGTACCATGCTTCCTTTTAAAACCAAACTGATTGTCGGTAGTTACCAAATATTCTTTGAGCCGATCCATAAGGATATGCTCAAATACTTTTGAAATAATATTCACTAAGGCAATTGGCCTATAATTTTCTATACTGGATATTTGACCAGTTTTATCTTTAATTACTGGCACTAATAAAACTGTCAGCATAGATTGAGGTAACACACCATGCATTAAAAAAACCTGTGAAGCACAGAGCAAGTAACACTGAATTTTTTTCGCTAGCATACTTCAGATGTTCAGCTACTATTAAGTCAGGGCCACATACTTACTACCACAAATTTACTGCCAATTTCTCAATAGCACAATTAACCTCAGCAGGTCTAATAATCATACCAACATCACTCGGTATATGACCTACTTCAAATTCCTGCCTCTCAACACAATTAAAAATATCCATGTAATATTTTCTCCACAATTTAACAATATTCTCCACCCCAACAACCCCTTCAATACTAGTTGGCAGCGGTACTTTACTATTATTAATAACCTTAACTTCTTTCCAAAAATCATGAACATTATTTTGCTAAAATTTCTTTGCCATTGAGTTTGTTCTCCTGGTTGCTTCATTTCTTTTAATAAACCGTACAGCATATTTAAATTTGGCATTGGCCAATTTCTTTTTCTCAAATTCTGGGCCATACCTTTCTTTACCTGTTAAAACCCAATTTTTAAAAGCATCTCTAGCCTCCAAGTGCAATTCAGATACATATTCATTCCATCCAGCCCTAAAAAGATCACTTTTAACTACTTTTTGACAGAAAGGTCTACTGGCATTATTTAGAAAATACACTATTTCATCATACATAAAATGCAACTCATTGATATGTTTAGAATTCTTACAGTTAACATTATCACACATAATCATTTGATACAGCTATGTTACTTTAATCTCTTCTCTGTTAACATTTTATATGGCCAAAGGTAATTTGCCATAAGACTTGCCCAATCTAATTGTTCACAATTCTCATGTTTATCATAATTGCTCAACTCAGGTAAACTCTCAACATTTAACATCATAACATATGGTCTGTTGTGGCCAAGTCATACAAAATCTCAAGTTTCTCTAGACAATAATGTGCATCAGCTGTGCATTTGGTCCAGCCAAGATGTTGTATTCCATGCTTCACTGATATATGTATAACTATCTATTGGTATCAATACATTGTATGGGTTAAAATGATCATACCAAAATTTCCTACCGTAATTATATATCAAAACTTAATTTTTGATCAGTAATATGCATTACTAAGAACTTAATTTGGACAACTTTAAAGGCGATTTTCTCAATATTTACATTTTTTTTCCCTTTTTTTTTTTTGCACCCTCAAATTCCAGATTTTCAAATAGTTGTATCTCAGCCATATTGTCCTATCTTAACAAACCATACATCAATGGAAAGCTTATTTATTCAGCGTTCAGATGATGTATAAATCTCAATTTTAAAAAAAATTTACCCTTATGACTGGTTTTGTGGTCCAGGGTCGCATATGTGCAATTTCAGATAAAACACTGCTGTCCGTGTGATTTCATTAAGTAAATTCCAAACAGTGCAGCTGTTGCTTTGAAATGCATTTCTCATAGGGCTGCACGATAAATCGCATGCGATATTTAACGCGCATCTTGTCAGAAAGCCGGTTCTGTAATCAGCGGTAAATCTCCATCACCGCTCGTCAGTGAACAACGGCTCTGTGTAGTTAATGCTGCTCAATGTGAAAGCCCGCAGGTGATGGAGATTTACCGCCGATTACAGAAGCGGCTTTACTGATAAAATGCGCGTTAAATATCGCATGCGATTTATCGTGCAGCCCTAATTTCTCACCACACATGGCAGATGTGCTGCTACCCAGCATTCAGCAATCCAGTTTTTAAACAAGGGCTCTATTGTTTGACATTTCGTCTGAAACACATGTTGATTGTTGCTTCCCAGGGCCATGTGAACAGGATCCTTAAAACAGAAGAATATGGTGCAATATGGCATCTGACAGGGACAATATTCCTTTATTTTGCTTTTGCAAATAGTAGCTTTGGGTCTGGAAATTTGCCAGCAAATATAATAACAAGAAAAATAAATTGTACAAACACGTACTAGAGTAAGTCTGGATGCAGAAAATCAGTTTTTATTTTTAATAACGTCAAATATCGGTGGAAGATTATTAATCTTTCTATAGATTGTAATGCACAGTCTGGCCGCCTCCCACGTCCCACCTAGCGGCCAGTTGCATGTACTGCACGGCGTTTATTTCTGCAGGGAAACGGGAAAAGACCAATCAAAAATAAGGATACTAGCATGTGGAGCGGCTACCTAGAAGAGCCTAGTTGCTACAGCATCGCCCTTAGTGTCTTGCCAGGCAAGAAAGATGGAGGAAATAGAAGGTAAGTCTTTAAAAAAGCAACAAAAGATGCTTATGTAAATATTTTGAATATGACGCTTCTAACCTTTAGCATTCAATCCGTGTGGTTGTATAAGGGAGAGCAGCTTTGGTTTATTCGGTCGCTGTTGTTTGAGGTTATCACCATGGAAGAGAATGACGTCTTGTAGGAAAATACTGACGTTTAACTGTTATTTGAACTGTGTGTATATACGTACATACTGTACATAGATGGATAGATTGGTAGATAGCTGAAGTGCTTTTGTTGTGATATTTGATTCATGTGAAGTGAGCTATACAACTTGCATTACATTTCAATGCCCTGTTCTGCTCTTTAAAATAAATAAATAAATAAATAAAAATCAAATGTCAAGATTTTTTCTTCCAGCATCCTTCACATCCTTAGGTTCCTGCCTTCAGTCAGTCCTCAGTTGTTTTACATGGACTGACAGGAGTGACCTATTTCCACACACTTCACCCTGTATCTGAGTGAACTGATCAGCACACCCAGATAGACTCACTCAACAATTCATCTTTATCATTTTTGTGTTTGTGTTTCATTTTATCATGTTGATCTGTTACTATTTATTCTTTGTGTTTTGTCTACAGATTCTCCTCCTCCTGTTTCTGAAGACCTGCTGCCCTGCAAAATATGTGGAAGAAATTTTTTTTCAAAGGTTCTTGTAAGTATTTCTGAATGGATGATGAGCTGACAGCTGGTGGTTGATGTAAATTATCTTGCCATTCAAATGTGTGTGCAAACATAAAAATAAAAATCCCAATGTGACATTCTAAATTAAACATATAACTATATATAAATAATATTTTTTACTGTGTTAGTGTATGTGCATTATTATAGGTTGCCTTGCAAGTTGCAGTATGATACAGAATGTACACTACAATTCAAAAGTTTTTTTAAAAAATGTTTTCTAAAGAACTCTTTCATGCTCATCGAGGCTGAATTTATTTTATTTAACAAATACAGTAAAAATAGTAATATTGTGAAATGTTATTATTATATAGAAAAATATTTTCTGTTTTAATATATTTTAAAATGTCCTTTAAAAAATCCTGTGATGGAAGAGCTGAATTTTCGTTAGCCGAAAACTCCAGTCTTTAGTGCCACATGATCCTTCAGAAATCATTCAAATATGCTGATTTGCTGCTCAAGAAAACTTGGTACATTTTTTCAAAAGAGCAGCATTTATTTGAAATCTTTTGTAATATTATATTGTCTTTGTTGTTATTCACTCATTGTTGAATAAAAATATTAATTTCTTTATTTATTAAAAAAAAAAAAAAACTCTTTGAACGGTACTTTACATTATGTCTTACCCAGCAATATACTAGCCAATTATGTTGGTATGTAGTTGCCAAATCAAGATTAGCAACAAGGCATGTACAGTGGGTACGGAAAGTATTCAGACCCCCTTAAATTTTTTTTTCAGCTGCAGGGACAGGACGACTGGTTGCAATCGAGGGAAAGATGAATGCGGCCAAGTACAGGGATATCCTGGACGAAAACCTTCTCCAGAGTGCTCAGGACCTCAGACTGGAACTAAGGTTTACCTTCCAACAAGACAATGACCCTAAGCACACAGCTAAAATAACGAAGGAGTGGCTTCCCAACAACTCTGTGACTGTTCTTGAATGGCCCAGCCAGATCCCTGACTTAAACCCAATTGAGCATCTCTGGAGAGACCTAAAAATGGCTTTCCACCAACGTTTACCATCCAACCTGACAGAACTGGAGTGGATCTGCAAGAGGGAATGGCAGAGGATCCCCAAATCCAGGTGTGAAAGACTTGTTGCATCTTTCCCAAAAAGACTCATGGCTGTATTAGATCAAATGGGTGCTTCTACTAAATACTGAGCATTTTTCAGTTTTTCTTTTTTAATAAATTTGCAAAAATGTCAACAATTCTGTGTTTTTCTGTCAATATGGGGTGCTGTGTGTACATTAATGAGGAAAAAAAATTAACTTAAATGATTTTAGCAAATGGCTGCAATATAACAAAGAGTGAAAAATTTAAGGGGGTCTGAATACTTTCCGTACCCACTGTATATCTCAGGTCACAAAGTAAAAACAAAACCTGGTATAATTACTCAGTCAGCGCAATGCTGTCACAGTTATTTGATACCTGCCCACCTGATTACCTATTGTAGAAAAAACATGTGCCGATCTGCCAGAAGACAGCTGCAAAGAAGAGAAAGGTGTTTGACTCCAGCAGGCAAAGGGCAGAGGGGACTGATATTCCTATACTCAAACCCATAAAACCAAAGGTGAGGAAACGACCACATTTAAACATTACAGCGACACTTTTACACTAGTTGTTTGGACCTGGATCTAGTTTACCTTGTACTGTATTTGTTCCCTTCATGTTCACAGTTGATGGTGAACTGTGAGTGGTTACATGCAGTGTATTTTTCAGACTGCTGCACATTCAGAAACCGTGTCATGTGCTGTTGCCATAAAATTCATCTGCAGGGTCACTGCATACATTGGCAATAGTGTTGTTCACCAACTTCATCTTAGTAGTAACAGAACAACATCAGCATAAAGGCAAATAATACATTTTCCTGGCTTTTAAACCTCATTGCCCAGCAACACTGGCAACAGTTCCTAGTACTGTATAGCTAATAATAATAAAAATAATAAAGACATTTTGTAAGGCTAAGGTTTACGCTACAATACAATAACACGCCAATATCTAATGAACACAACTTTTTTTTTTCTGCTTCAAAATTCTCAGGGAATAAAAACCTCAGTGCTAATCTGCAGTAATTAAAAATAATTTCCACCACACTTTATGGATTACATTTATTTAATGTTCTTTGACAGCATTCACATTGAAGTTTCACATAGAATAAATGTGGATAATGCAGTTAAAAAAAAACTGTGTTAAACAAGATTATTTTATACAAATGGACTTGCAGTACTTCCAAGATGCATTTTTATAAATACATAAAAATGAACTTGTTTTACATCAAAATATATCAGATTTATTAGGGTATAAATTCAAAGCAAGTAAGTAATCTAAAATTATTTTAGTAAAATATGTTAAAATAAAAAATCTAAAATTATAAAAATCTTGGAAGAATGATTGGAATATTAATTTTTTTTGCACTTGTTTTAAATTTACATTTACTTTTTTTTTATTTTGTCACAATTCTCACCATGACCATAAACATCTGCAAGTCTCTTGTCCTCCATGAATTACTCCTTTATTGTATTATTATTTAGTTTTTGTGTGCACATTCCTTGTTGCATATTTTTCCGGCATGGCTGTTCCTGGGAAACCATGACCTTTCTGTTGTTTGTGCCATTCTTTATCAGTTAATCTAAAGGAATATCATGCTTGGCTTCCCCCACAACATCAGTTTTTTTTGGCAGTGTGAACATGGCATTTGTTTCTCAACGTTCTGAATACACCAGACAACTTCACTGAAAAAAATGTTTCATTCATCCAATTAAAAAAATTTAGGGTAATGATTCACATCTATAAAAAGTCCTCAGTCTCAAACAGAGCCCACTATTCAGGGCTGTTTTCCTCCACGGCTACCCTCATATCATACCCTAGTGTCCTGAAGTATTCTAAAACCCCTTTTGGTTATGTTTCAGTTACAAAGTTCTTCCAGCAGCTCTAAGTCTGATAAAGTAAGTTGAATGTTTGTTTTTGAAATTTTTTTTTTTCTCATCACTGAATTTTGTGTCTCACCATGTCACTTCTAATATTAAGGCTGCAGTGTTTAATATTTGCTTGCTTTGGAAAAAAATCTCCAAAAGAGTTATAAGTTTAAAAGAGTTGTAAATAATCTTGATTTTTTTTTTCTTCAAGATGTTTGTCTTAAGTTTACCTACTCTGGGATCAATAAACAATGTTTATCTGTCCTGGGGCCCGTTTCAGAAAGGAGGTTAAATGAAAACTATGTTAACCCTGAAATGAGGGAAACTCTGGGTTTTCCGTTTCAGAACGGGAGGTATGTCAAACCCGAGAAAGCAGGGTAAGTCAAGCCCATTTCTGAAAGGGAGGTAACTTATACTCAGAGTCAGTTACCATGGTAACTTACTCTGTGAACCTAACCTGGTCAGGAGCAGGTTTTCTTCGGTAAACTCAGTTTCTTTTGGTCTCCTCCCCCTTTTTAAAGCGCAAGCGATGTTTAAATACTTCATTCAATCATTCATGCACGCTGCA